ATGACATTATCTCAATTCTTTTTTGATAGACTAGTAAAAACGGAAAATAAATATCAGTACAAATGTACAACTTAAGAAAATAGTATCACTGAAGTGAAGATATTTTCAATGGGAATAATGTTTGCGTTTAAGGGCGAAAGGTTTGTAGATATTGTTCCCTTACACTATGAACTGACTAGCTAAACAACTACTAAAGACTATAGACATCCAGTCATCTTAGAATGAGTCTTTACAGTAATGTTTTCGCGCCAAAGACGCTTAGATGACCTTCAGCTTACATTTCCGATTTGTAAAATCCTTGACTATCATTAGTTGATGGATTATTTTAGTGTGCTATTTTGTGGCTCTCACCAAGGGATACTACCCCTAACTCAGGTCTCATATAGTCGGAAATGCGAAAAAAATCATTGCCCGACATGAGACAAAAGATAGTAGAAGTGTTTAGGCCTATTTGCATCAAGCTGGACTGCCTCTTCTATTATCCTACGCCATAAATGTGTACACCATATGCTATATAGAGCTATATAGAGCTGAACGTCTTCTATGAGACAAGAGGTTCTCTGTGAGATATTTTTTTTCATTGTATAATTTTTATTGTTCTGAAACTAGTGTTCTAGAGAAAGCCACTAGAAGGTTGCTGATAGTATGAACTTCATACAGTTTGTTTGAATACTAGAAAACTTGCAGATAATTCAATGGTGAAACAATTCTCTACAATCAAATATTTCCTTATCCGATTCATCTTTTACTTTTAAACTGTCTAGATTGTATTCAGAAATGACATCTTTTCCCGAGTACAACAGTTCAGATTCGTTTATTCAATGTAAAATTTTTGTACAATGAATATCTGTGAATATCTATTTATCTATTAAAACAACACCCATTTTTCAATCGAATTTTTAATTCAAACATTGATTTTATTTTAAAGAGTTAATTTTAATCAAACAAGCAACATTGAATCAAGAATCGTTGAATGTATGGGAACATTGAACATCAGTTTTGGCAAAAATTTAAGAATCTTTAACAGTAAACACTCGTCATCTCAATACAGAATCGAACACAAGACGTAATCGAGTCTTTTACAGCAAATAATTGACTGTTGTTGTCAGCAACTGAATACCCAGTTCAAGATGAATTAAGTTGTATAAAAACATTTTCAAGAAAAAATCACTTAACCTCAACAAAAAAAATAATAATAATCATCCCCAAAAAAGAAGAAAACTTACTTTTGCCAGCGCTATACAACCGATATCGGTAATTTTATTGTTACTAAGTGACAGTGTAAGCAGTGTACGATTAGTTCTCAGTGCCTTAATTTAAACAAAAGTAGACAATTAATTTAAAAAATTAAATATTCAATTATAGAATACGGAAGTAGTATAGGTAAAATTGAAGTATACACTAATGATATAACATCGTTCAAATGTCAATTCTTCACTTATGTAAACGAGAAAAATGAATTTAATTGCAAAATAGTTATTTAATCCAGAAACAAACCTAAGGTACCTCTATTTGTCATAACATTGTAGCTAACTAAAATGAGACTTGGAACTTGTTTTACTTGGCTATTATGTTTTATCAAAACTTGTAGTACTAATCAATACTGGCAATAAATTATTCCGTTAATGTATCAGAAATATCAACTTCAACAGAATTTAAATCAAAATATACGTCATATATCACGCATAGTTGAAACTGAATTAGAAAAAAATTGAACAGATCATATTAAATTTGAAAAGAAGGGGAAAGATTGTCAAACTGGGAGAGATTGCAGTCCTTTTAAATAGTTTCTAAAACCTGATTGCTATTAACATTGCTTAATAAAAATAAAAGAAATAGTCTACAATAAACTTAAAGAAAATAAAATTAGAAATATTCTTCTGGTTTTTGATATAATTTCATCTTTTATTAGGAGTTGTAAAAAGGATTTCATTGTGACCAATTTGGTCTCGTGATCTTTTATGTGTTTGAGGGCGGATGTTACTTCCAGGCTGCACACACCGTGGAAGGGATCTAGTTGTCAGAAGAGGCATCGGCCTCTTGACTTCCGAAGGAACTTGGCTTTCATCATGAGACGTCATAACTCTACTAAATGAAGACCTTCTAACTCTTAGAGCTGAGTTTAAATGGTTGGAATCAATTTTTATTGTTAGCGTTTTTTTGGCAGGTTAGTTTTTTCCTGGATGGTGTCGCCAACTCCAATCCCAACCCTCCTCCTTTATCCCGGCTTGAGACAGGCAGTAGCCCCGGAGGGTTTACATACGTACGTAAGTACGAAGTTCTACGTTGCTGTTGTTGTTGTTATATAATTTCATTACAAATCAACTCTTATAATCTTCAAATGCATTCTAGTTGTATATAATATAGATTATAAAAATATGCAAGGCATTGAAATGAATATCAATTCCCTCGTTTATCAAGGCCTTAAAGCTTACTAACTGCATACACATGAAAGCACAAGATTTCAAGCTTTTTTACCAAACTAATGTATCTATCTAGAAAGGATCAGTGAATCTGAATAGTGATATGATTCAATCCAATTAAAGATTAATATTGATATGCTTGTCGATTTATATGCTTCAAACTACTACGAGTTTACCTTACCCGGTAAACGGAACGAAGAGAAATGATACAGTGACACGATAGACTACTTTAATCCGTTTATCCCTGGCCCTGCTAACTACATCAAGAAGTCTTGATAAGGCGTAGATAATGTATTATACAAGAACCCAGAAAATACGAGGTTCACAAAACGGGTTTATTTATACATCATAGAAACATCCTTAGGAGAGCCACAAAAATAGCCTACTAAAATAATACATCAGCCAGTAACAGTCAAGGAGTTTCCTTAAGGGAAATGTAATCTCAAGGTCAAATGATTAGCTCATGAATAAAATCCAAAATTAGGCCCTCTATCAAGTGAGTTCTGAGGATCTAACGTCCCTTACAGGAACAAAGGTCCTGAGTTAGATTTCTAGTTAGAGGGTTGTAGATATGCACAATAGACGAGTTCCATACTAGAACGTTCAATGATTTCGTGTTTCTGATAGTTGTGTAACTTATATCAACTAGTGATTCTAATGATATTCAAAAATCTTCACAACCCCATACTGACAGTTCAATTAAGTGAAAGCTTACAATCTTGAAACTGTCATATATCCGTAGTAGAATCTTGTAGACTGTGTTCTAATTTACTTCAATGTGTACTATAATATTGGGTAAGTTCAACTAATACAATGTACGAACATTAAAATTGGTACCTATACGATACTGCCCTCTACATGAATTCATTGGTCCTGAATGGACGTTATAGGTTAATAAAATATAAATAATTCACTAACTTTTTATACCCATTCAAGGTGAATTCTATGTCACATTCATTCCTTTAGATTAGGGTGTTATTAATATTTGAAAATTACATTAATACCTACCTACTGATGAATTATCTAAAAACTCATTTATAAATGACCTTCAGTCTAATGAAAATCAAATTTCCATTCAGCTATTACTATTAATTTCAAGATTAATTTTTGGAAGTAGTTTTTGAGTTAAATAAAAAACACTTTCACTGAATTATCGATTTTCCATCGCATCTAATTAGTATCCTTATTCTTTTTCTTTTCATAAAGGTCAAGTGACTATGATTTAAAGCAAACAATTGTACAGCAAAAGCAGTAGTATATACTGGAACTTTGAAAAAGCGTCAATATTCAATTCTGCTCGAAAGTTGACAATAGTTAGATGGGCATTATTTTTTTTTTAAATCAATGTAAGAGATGGATGTAGTTTTTACAAACTTTACTTTCTTGTCACAGTGATTGAGTTGAACAGATTAAAAAAAAATTAATGAGATTTAGGTAAGTCAATCAAAAGAATCGTTTTGAGTGAAAATAATCATTTGAATGAATAAAACAAACCGAACTTCTAGTTCAGTTGCAACAAACTGGAGTGAAAACGTGGTAGAACTGACCTGTAGACAAGGAACTATATTTTTAGGAAGAAATTGAAAAGTCATAGCAAATATGAATCATTATTCATTATTCACAATATAAAATACGAATCTTAACTCATAAAATGTACCTACTTTTTATATTGACTTAATAGATATTTCATCATGAAATTAGTTAACAAACATTAAATTACACTGATAATAAAAGTCGAATTAGATAGTAGTATATAGGTAGTTAGATACGTTTATATTTTTTCCCGACCGTAGCTGCTACCGTGACGTGGTGGTGGGGCTTGACTATCATGATGACCCAACCGAACTATATTGGCTGGAACATATGTTCCTGAAGGTTCTACTATGCCAGGCAGGTCAACTGGAGAACGATGAGACTAAAAGCAGCTACCCAAGGTCTGAGGGCGAAATCGTACTGCTGACTGCAGAGGGGTGTGACAGCAGTAAGGTGTTTTCCTCGGACAACCAGAATCTGCAGCGATGCTGCCTTCTCACAATGAAGAAAGGGTTAGAAAAGGTCGACCATAAAAATGTCACATCTCACCCTACCTCACGGATTTCCGTCTCCGGCGGTAAGGGTGCTCACTAAGGGCTTTCAAGTGCGGAGCTAATACTCAAAAAACCCTTCATAAAAATATCCGTGCGTGACCGGCCTCAAGCAGTTGTCTCTTGGACTCTGCGGTCACGCTCCCAGGTCGTTAAGACCAACACTAATCTATCTTCCTTTTCAGGTCCCTCAAGAAACAACCTTCCACGGTGTGGGCAGCCGGGAAGTGACAACCGCCCTCATACCCGTAACAGCACACGAGACCGAATTGGTCAAAATCAAATCCTTTCTACAAGATACGTATGTTTAGCTAGTTGAAATATAATCTGTCATTGAGTTTAACAAGTCATAAAAAAAATACAAATGTGAATGGAATATTTTGAAAAATCTACCATGGGGTGAATTCTAAACGCTTCGAAAAACAAAGCTACTTAGTGGTATTTTTCAATTAGAGTTATGGAGATTAGTGTTTTTTTACACATTTGAAATCATAAATCAACCAGTCATTATTAGACCACCATTAGAAGCACTGAAAGATGGCCGTTTCGTCCTGGTATGTGACTCATCATTAATGCGCATCCACAACTCCTGCACCTCATAGGATTAGAAACCGGGACCTTCGGTTTTGCGCGCGAACGCCTAACCTCTGGACCATTGGGCCCGCATCCGACGGTGTTATTGTCTAACTCCGATTGATCTAGGGATTTTGCGCGATCTCAACAATTTGTCTTTGATAGTTTCTGCCTACATCCGACAGGGTTGAACTCCAATGGTCGTGTCTTCTCACTAGAACTCCGATAATTTCCTGAAGAAGCTAGTCACTAGTGAGCCGATTTTACGATACTTTCAATTACAGTTATGGAGATTAGTGTATAGCTACACATTTGAAATCATCTATAAACTCGTTTACTGTTTGCTTTCGTTGTGTATAAGTTTGATCTATTCTATTGCGGATTGAAATTCTTTATAAATTCATGTTTCAAAGGTTTATACGTTTCATGTTTCTAGTATTGTTATTGTCTGACTTATGCTTGATTCTACTGTCAATATCTCAATGATTTTATCCATTAAGGACACGTTTAAAAAAGTATCGTTATTTATATTTCTGTAGTAAAACTTCACTTCCTCGAGAAACAATCAGATCACCTAGTCATAAGCTTACACAGTTGAGACATAGAACAGTTTATTCGTTTTTTAATAGTTAGGCAGATATAGAATAGAGACATGGGGTATCGTGAAGGATAAAACATCAAAAACGTATTATTCTGATTTCCTGACAAAAGTAGTATAAAGTTTACATACCTCATGCAATGCCTGGAAAAGAAATACACTTTTCTATATTTGAATAGTGTAATGCAAGGAAGATTATCAGTACTATGTGATACATATCGAATAATCTGACCACATATATACGTGTTAAGAACATTCAGACGACAAATGGAGTGTATAGTTAGATAAGAAGAAACAAGGTGAAGCTTACCACATCTTGACTAATAAAATAACAGAATTTTACACAGATAAGTTTATTTTTCATATTTATGAATGTTCTCAACAAGTATATGTGTGATCAGATTGTTCAAAATATATTACGCTAATCAATCACATAGTTTTCATAATCTTCGTCTGCTTATTATGCTATCCAAATATATCAAAAGGAATAAATTGCTTAAAAAACTTTCTATCTATCAATGGTGGACTGAGTCATGTTGGTAGATTTAGGCTATCTGGTTGGGAGCCGCGAGACGAAAGTCACCAATGGTTAGAGACCTTGAACGACATGGCTCAGAATCGTTTGCAATGGCGCAGGTGAATCCACTCTTTGTGTTCTCTCTAATTCTAAACTTCTGAATTCCTCATTACCTCTACCTTTCTCCCTCTAAATTTATCTCACTGAATTATGCTTTTCGAATCATATCTTCGCTACCTAATCTTCTCCATTGCTGCTAATAATTCCACTATCGTTATCACTCTTGGATTTGAACTGACAGTTACGTCTCTGTGCTGACGTGGTATGGCAACCTGAACTAATGTACTTATGTACGAAGTTCTGCGTTGTATCTGTCTGTCTATCAGTCTTTCTATCAATGTTAACTGGCAAAGAAACATTTAAAACTGATTTGTTTTAATAACAAATGTTTCAAAGTTTCAAATTGTCGCAATACAATTTTTACGAAAACCATTGATCACATTTTTTTTAACTGTACAAAAGAACAACAAATAAAAATGAGTTATCTTATTTTTAAGTTATAAATTCTTGAGTTTTATGTTAAGGTTGAAAAATCAGTAGATAACTTTTTTTTGATTGGTATGTTCAAATGAGTTGTATTGATCCAAGGTCATTCCGAGTTTTTATCGGTCACGTGTATTTTCCCCAAAGTTTCAGTTATTCTTATTGTTTATTTTCTTTTCATGCATAATTTATTTGAAGTTAGAAAACATAAATGTTGATGAAAAAAAACGAAAAACTATTCCAAGAAATTGCAAGTCTTTTAAAACAAAACTAAGATTACTTAACTATAAATATATATGCATTACGGGGTTGTGAAGATTGTTAAGTTACACATTTTTCTGAAACCATGAATCAACCAATGATTGTTAGACCACCATTAGAAACCTGGAAGCACTGGACAGTAACTACCGAAGACTGTGTATGAGGTTGCGCAACTCCGTGAATTGATCAAGTTAGACATTAACACTGTTAGATACTGGCTCAGTGATCTAAAGGTTAGGCGTTCGCCTACCATACCGAAGGTCCTGGGTTCGAATCCTGCGGGGTGCAGGAATCGTGGATGCGCACTGCTGATGAGTCCCATACCAGGACGAAACCGTCGTCCAGTGCTTCCAGGTTTCTAATGGTGGTCTAACATTGATCGATTCATGGTTTAAAAAATGTATATATATATATATATATATAAAAATCATGAAAGGTTATTTCACACAATGTAACTTACTTCAGCCAAATAAATGGCGCCTTCATCTCCTAACTGATTACCAGATAGATCAAGACTCATTAGCTTTTTATTGACAAATTGCATTGTTCCTAATCGTAGACTAATTAATTTTGCTTCCATTGGTCCAATTTCACAATATCTCAATCGTAATTTTGTTAAACTAAATTGAACAAAATTGAACACAGAACATTGAATAAGCGCAGTTGTTTTTTGAAAAGTTAAGAGAAGTTCACTTGTTCATATTAGAGCATGAAATAACATCAAAACGACTTAAGGATGGATAGTTATTTTGATTTTGTATAAAACAATTAATTTGAAATGCTTACTCACTAGACTATCAGTTCAATGTTCTAGATAAATTTGTTTTAATTTCAACTGGTTAGTATACATCTTACTTGTGAAAAATTGAGGAAAATCTCTGCTTGTTTTTTACTTATTCATTGGATAACATATGAGTTAAGATTTATAGAAGGTTTAATAATAAAGTGTAGAAAGCGATTCACTTAGTAGTAGTCGCAGTAGTAGTAGTGTAGTGAAAGAGAACACAGGTGGGGCAACCGAATTGTATTCGACGAAAATTACAGAGTTACTCAGTAAAATTGGAAAACCATATCGTAAATCGTTAGTTAATTTGCAAAATATCAGTTCATCATATCGAACTGGACTGTTCCTGTTGCAAAACATCAATCCATTGTCACTATTCATGCGTTTCATACAAATTCCATTGTGTTGTAACTCTTCCTTTCTTGATCTTCCCCCATCTTCTGCTGCCAGACATTACGTTGACACTCATGTCATATACTACTTATAAGTAGCTCGCACCACAGTAGTAGTAGTAGTAGTAGTGTGAGTAGTAGTCGTAGTAGTAGTAGTAGTAGTAGTAGTAGTAGTAGTAGTAGTAGTAGTAGTAGTAGTAGTAGTAGTAGTAGTAGTAGCATGACAAAAGTCTAATTAGTCAGTCATAATCAATTCAGAGGAATGATAAAATTTTATATTGGCATAATGTATCATACCACAATAACACGGTGGGATTAAATCAATAAGACAGCTAGAAAAAGGGAAAGTCAAAATAGTAGATGTATAAGTGACATTGAGAAAATGATTCATATACGTAGAATGGAAAGGTGTGTGTGAAGAAATTCTGAAACCACAGATTGAAAAGAAAATACAGAATGAATGCATTTGAACCAATGAGACTATTTCTAATAAATTATAACTCATATCTCTCATCCTTAATCACTGTTATCAAGTGGAACCCAACTGGGTGGTATACATTAACTAACATTGGCCAAAACATAGGCCACTTATTTACTTTTCAGTTTGACTACCTTTCCAGCTTTATGCCAACATGCTCCTATACCAGTTAATATTCCCTATTGAGGTAGGCTGTGGTTAAGTAACACATATCTTAACCATTTTGCCACCTGTCATTTTCGTGTAATACCCAGTGTCTAAACCCAGTGTTGCACGCTTAGTCGTTCCAAGAAAGCAAGCAATGGTCAAAACCCTTCTGCTCACACATATTTTTTACTTCGAAAAAGCTATTTGACTTATTGATCAAATTACCAACTGATCGTGACTTCTCCTTGTTGGCTTTAAGGAACAAACTCGATCAACCCTGTAGAAGCATAAGTGTACCCAGCTGAATTGCTTCGATATAACCGATAGGTATATGTTGAGTGTGTTTTGGGGTTGTTGCTAGCAGTAGAATCTGGGATGTTTGTTATTTGCGATTCGGAAATATCAACATTTAGAAATATTATCCTACTCAGTGATAAAAATAAGAGGCGATCTGGATACAGTAATTAAGTAAATAACGTAATTTGGTTTCGAGTAATAGGTATTAGGTTCAAGTCTTGCTGTGGACATTACCAATGAGATGTAGGTATATAGAACTGATGAGCACTGAAAGGTGTGAAACAGGAGTCTGGGATACCGCTACTAGCTTTTATCCAAAGATAGAATCAGCCTCAGTCAGAACAACAATCAAAGCAACTCAAATTACACCAGAAGAATTAGTTAGGGCATATTTTTATCGTAATATATATCAAATAAAATATTTATGGATTTAAATGTTTGGATGTCACTATTCAACTATAACCTTTTTTAAAGTTTATCAATGAATCTTATTAGTCTTCTCTCAGTTCTAAAAGATGACTGTTTATATCTGAATAATTATAATTTTGAGATGGTGAAGAAAATTTGTAGCTCAGGTGGATGACTGTGATGGAGTTTCGTTCTATGAGCTGGAATTGTTTTAGTTGTGGAGTTTTCATTGTTCTTCTGAACAATATGATTAGCACAAATTTCAGATAGAAGTGAAGAATTCGAATTTCTTCACGTATGAGACTCGTAGCTTGTTTTGTTAACTTCGATCTTGATTAGTTGTTATTGACTTTAAACCTGTTGTCAATCAAAATTAAGGTACAAACAACGACAGGTTCAAGGTCAACAAGAACCCATCAAGATCAATTTCAACAAAACAGGCTACCAGTCATACGTGGAGAAAGTCGAATTCTTCACTTCTATCTGCAGTTTCTGCTAATGATGTATTAGGATATTCACCCGATATCCTAAGAGAATTATTGGTCACTTTCTATTGGTTACTTTCTACTGGTCAATTTTATGATCGAATTGACATGTTTACGTCCATGCATAACAATTCATTTGGTGTGGTTCGATAGACGTACAAGAAATTTCGTAACACGTCAGCTGGTGTCCCCTCCCCTTCTGACTTAGTCAATGCTCTTTTAAACGTATCCACAAACCTTTCTGCTTGCCCATTCGATTGCGGGTAGTATGGTGGCCAGCGTAAGTGTTTAATGGCTAGTCGTTGACAGAAAGTCTGGAATTAGGTAGAGGTAAATTGAGACCCATTGTCAGATACAATCACATCTGGTCTGCCATTTCGACAGAAAAAATTTCAATGAGGAACTGTATTGTCTTAGTTGTCGTGGGTGGCATTACGAGGTTGATTTCTGGCCATTTTGAGAAGGCGTTGACCACAATTAAATACATAGTTCGATTGATTGGAGCAGCGAAGTCGATGTATATCCCGGACCAAGGATGATCAGGTTTACGTACATGAGTAACATGATGTTGTTCAGTAGAACCATGAAAGCTCCACAACCAAAATATCCAGGTTCAGAGAACGAAATTCCATCATAATTATAATTTATATGTTACTCTTTCAAATTATTATTTTCTTAATGATTTAATAAATAATTACTACGATTGAGTAATTAATTAATTAACTAAAACAATCATAATGCATCATTGTTGGTTAGTTTTTGAGATGAAACATCCAACGAAAAGATTTTTTTTTCAAAATGAATGTATCCACATTTTACATTTTTTTTTCATACTTTTTCAGTTCTCATATCCTTCATTGTGAAATTGTCAAATTTCTTTAGACCTAATTTAGATAACATTAATATAAATAATTCGATGTACATTTATCATTTATTGTTAGAGTTTAAGTACAATGGAAAGTGTAATTTCCTTTCCCTACTTTTTTTTAAGGTCAAATAAGTCGGAATAGTAAATATATATATTTATTTATACACGTAAATCACACTACGCACTTATTCGATTCATCAATTAATTGAGCATATGAACCAATTTCTAATGCTTCATTTGCATCGATTGTCAGCGACCTAAAAAGAGAAAGTAAAATCAAGATCAAGAGAAGTGAAAATAATAATCAATTTGTTTATGGAGAATAATTCATAAGAGAATACCTTCAGAAAAATAATATATAACTGAATTCATTTACATATTGAAATCATCAGTCAGTCAGTCAGTCAGTCATTGACAGACCAACATTAGAAACTTGGAGGTACTGAGAGACGGTTGTTTTGTCCTGTTATAGGACTCATCATCAGCAGTGTGCATCTACAACTCTCACAACTCGCAGGATTTGTTAGTTACTGCTTAAACCTGACAGGGTTGAACTCTACTGGTCACGTCTTCTCACTAGAACTCCGAGAATTTCTTCGCGAAGCTTGACGCTAGTAAGCACAATGTTCACTATATTTTCAGTTACAGTTATGGAGATTATTTTTTTACACCATAGACAGATGGTCGCGCAAAATCTCTAGATTGATCAGAGTAAGACATGAACACCGTTGGATGCCGGCCCAGTGGCTCAGAGCTTAGACGTTCCTGTGCAAGACTGAAGCTCCCGGGTTCGAATCGTGTGAAGTGCAGGAGTCGTGGACATGCACTGCAGATGAGTCCCATACCAGGACGAAATGGCCGTCATCAGTGTTTCCAAGTTACTAATGGTGATCTAACAATGATTGACTGATGATTTCTAATGTGTAAATACACTAATCTTCATAACTCTAATTGTAAACTCATTTATTCAGTTTTTTTGATAAAGCATATTACATAAAATTTATCAGACAGATATTCTTTTCTTGAAATGAAACTTTCTTTCAATAATTATACAAAAATTTGTTACTTTTCATTCAAAAATGAATAATACTGTCTGTCAGACAGAATAGATGAAGAAAATGAGATGTAAATTTTGAGTAGATATTGTCTAATGAAGTTTTTTTATCCAGTTCTAACCATAAACTATCGTTGGATTAATGAATTTTTACAAACTATTTTGTGTTTTATAAATAACAGATAATCGACTATAAATCTGTTATCCCGCTTTGTATCGAGAATTTTCAAAATACTATGTAGTCGGGATGCGATTCTCCCCGTCGAAATGCAAAAATGTTGCTTCAAGATTGGGTTGCATCGGTACCTGAAATAATGATAGGGAGTGAAGCAAATGAGCGTGTTGACCACTTCAGTTATCTTGGGAGTCTCATCAGTGCTGACGGCCTGGTGACTGACGAAATCTCGGCACGGATACAGAAAGCTCTATTGTCTTTTGTCAACTTGCGTCACTTATGGCGAAGGCGAGATATCCGTTTGCTGACTAAAGGACGAGTGTACTGTACAGTCTTTCGCTCCGTCTTACTTTATGACTGTGAAACATGACCAGTCGGAATAGAAGATATTCGTAGGTTACTGGTTTTCGATCATAGATGTCTCCGAAGTATCGTTCCTTTATCATGGCACAATCGAGTAAGCAATGCTGTTATTAGGAAACGGTTCCTAGGTAAGGATAGAAGTCAAGAGATGAAGTAATGAAAACTCATCAATTGAGGTGGTTAGGACATGTGTCACGTACGCCTAACCACCGACTGCCTAGTCGAGCGATATTTGGCGTTGTAGGAATGGGCTAGACGAAAGCTAGGGGCGGCCAGACCAAAACATGGCAGAAATCCATGAAGTCACTAACAAGTGGACTGATTCATGTCAGTAGGTGTCGACTACTTGGTTGGGGCCCGTGAGATGATAGTAATAGATGGTTAGAGACCCTGAATGATATGGCTCAAAAACATTTGCAATGGCGCAGGTGCATTTATTCTTTGTGCTCTCTCAAATCCTAATCTTCTGAATTCCTAGTCTCTTTATCTTTTTCTTTTTAAGTTGATTTCACTAGATCTGACTTCCTGAAAAATATCTTCGAACCCTAAACTCTCCGATTACTTCTAATACCTTTACTATTTCTACTACTATGGGATTTGAATTGACAATTACATCTTTGTGCTGATGTGGTATGGCAACTTGGACTGATGTACGTACGAGCGAAGTTCTATGTTGCTGTTGATTGATTGACTGACTGATGTAGTCTTATATTTTGACTAGATAAGCATTTGAGTAATGAATTGCAGTGAAAAATATACTTTTGATTATTTATTGAATGGAATGTGATATTTTACCTAAAAAATAGTCAATTTCGATAACTCAAACCATTCTGTTCTATTTGCAAAACATCGCTCCTTATCTTGTATTGGTTTGAAAAGTAGACACTGAACCTGGAGTAATAAAATGAATAATGTCCTTTTTAGAGTTTTAGGTGAATAAATATTGATCACATGAGTCAAACAGTATCTTGGCTAAAGACTCGCTAGAGTTGATGTCGTACCCAAATTCGGATAAATTAGGAGGGTTTGATATGAGTTGGCGACTCGGGACCGGACGAAATTTAGTCTACATACAGAAAAGTGATGATGTCTTGTACTGAAAGCCAAAAGTTTTTAAAGTCATAAAGCCAACACCTACTTCTAACCATTAGGATAACAACAAACATAGGTAGAGAGAATGTCTGAATAGTATGGAAGACAATTCATTTGTGATGAAGCTTGGTCAAATCAATATGGATAGATTTATACTTACCTAATATTATTAGTCTTCAGTAAATTTAATTGTCATACCATCATAATAATAATAATAATACAGTATTCATTGAAGTTAACTACGAAGAATACTAACTCACTTGATAGTGCTGTTGGTAGACAAATATGAAGCCAACTGAGTTATTTGTTCAGCTGTGAATCCAACCCTCCAAAATCTTTCATAAGTGAAAAAGATAATTAGAACATGAAAACATTATAGTGGCAGTTTTTGTGAATATCTTACGGACAAAGCGATTAACTTATTTTGGTAAATTATTTTAAGTTACTTGCAAGTAGCTTAAATGGAATCTTAAAACTTTTCAGCTGCAAAATTATTTATGATTAATACAGAAGCAATAGTAAATAGTAAATAGGTAATGAAATCTGAATAGAAGTTGTAGCACTTGTACTATATTAATTAAGAAAAGGATCTTTAAAATAGAGTACAGTAATATCTTCAGAACCATATGTGGTCAGCTAGATTATTTAAAGATAGTAATTGACTAGCCGAAAATAATAGTGTGGGAAAGGAAATGTCTTACTACTTGTTAAGTTATAGAAATGATTAACAAATCAATTTTAAATTTCTAGTCCTCCATAGAATTCTAATGCATGATTATATGAATAACGTTCATATGACTGTATACTCTACACGTCCTTATTAACTCAGTTAGAACCTCACTTCCCAACACGACATGCTTGAAACAAACAAACTGAAAGATTGACTGGCCACTAAATAAGCTAACACAACCATAATTCATAAACTGATTACTACGTAAGGAGATGGAAAAGAATATAATCCCCAATTAACAACCATTGAGAGGTGTACTAATAAATCAGAGGGTGATAGTTTATTTTCAGTAAGCGTATAGACAAACACGGAAACTTAGTCTCTACTAAATTTCATTGTGGTAAATTTTGAACCAAGCTAATTATTATCGTTGTGTGTCAAGTACCTTTATCAGATGCTGTAAAGGCTTACGGTAGTTCACTTTTACTGGGATTGTTCTGTAATGATCGAGAATATATTATCGTGAATTTCCATGAAAGTTTTATAAAAGCAGTTATATTAACGTATCATAATCGTCCGAAGCTCATTTTTGCTGCTTTATGTAGTAAGTATACAAATAAATCTGTTACATTCTTCCAGCGATCTTATTCTAAAATCTTTCACTACTATGTATCTATCAAACTAATTGCGTTTGTTTATTATGAGTCACAAAAACTAGTAAACGTAGCAGCTTTGCGGTGAAGTGTACAAATCAATAAATAAGTGTTGGTTGAAATATAATCCACTTAAGCCCACTCTTGGGTTGTTTAAGTAGGCAGGGATGACATAAGTTTCAAACTACAAATAAACATCAGTTCTGTTTAAGCTCTAGTCAATTCTGGAACACGATATGTAAATTTAATGAACGTCATATACAATATTAAGACATGTAGCTTAGAAAAAACAATACAAATTTGATTGATGCGTCAACGGTACTGAATACCAACTAGTAGGTAGTCCATATGAACTTTCTTCGTTATTTAAAACGTTTTAACTGAAAATCATTATAAGATACTGAAAATTGATAAGTCAACAATTTAAAATAAATATTACTTTTACACACTGAAATCAGGAATGAATCACTGTTAGTTCACCATAAGAAACCTGGAAGTATTGGACAGCCTTTTCGTCCTGATATGGGACTGACTCATCAGCAGTGCGCATCCGCGACTCCCTATACTCACGGGATTTGAACCCGGGACCTTTGGTTTCATGTGAAAATGTTTAACCTCTGGACCACTGAGCCGGTATCCAACGGTGTAACTGTCTAACTCTGATTATTCTAAGGATTTTGCACAACGTCACCCATTTCCTTTGGTAGTTACGGCCGGTACCTGACAGGTTTGAATTCTACTAGTCACGTCTTCTTTGCAAAGCTAGTCACTAGTTTGCACAATTTAATACTTCGCATTACAGTACTGTCTACCGAAGACAATGGGTGAGGTCGCGCAAAATCTGTAGATTTATCAGAGCTAGAAGGTAATGGCGTTGGATGCCGGTTCAGTTGTCCTGAGGTCAAGCGTTCGCACGTGAAACCGAAGGTCCTGAGTCGTGAATGCGTAGTGCTGATGAGTCCCATACTAGGCAAAAACAGCTGTCCAGTACTTCCAGGTTTCTTATCGTAGTATATTAATCATTGATTGGTGATTTCAATATGTAAAGAAGAAATTCCTTTCAATCAAGGTTTCGTTAATTTTGTTAGAAATCTTAGTAGTCACTTCGATCTAATGGAACAGATAATGAATTTTTCTGTTGACTTATAGTACTTTTCATCTTGATTCGTAAATGACCAGGTAGCAAGATACTTTTCTGTATGATCAACTAAAATTGCTCCAGCTTACTTTGCTGACTGGCTAGCAGCATATTAGAAAATATCAAAGGATAGTCAAACCAAAATTTGGAATCAATTCATGAAGTCATTGACCAATGAACTACATAGTTGGTATTCGAACGATTATCGTAAAATTAGTGGTTGAAGACAATGACTAACTTGACTTAGAATCTGTCATAACGATATGGGTAAATTCACTTTTAGTCTTTGTTTAGTTCAGAAGTTTCAAAATTATCTTTTACTTTCTTTGTTCCACAAATTTGAACTTCTCAAATCATATCGTCTATAACCAATCTTTTCTTGTTCTTCAACAACAACTACCACTACTGCTACTACTACTAATGTAGTGAACGAGAACACAGGTGGGGCAACCGAATTGTATTTAACGAAAATTACAGAGTTAATCAGTAAAATTGGAAAACCATATCGTAAATCGTTAGTTAATTTGCAAAATATCAGTTCATCATATCGAACTGGTCTGTTCCTGTTGCAAAACATCAATCCATTGTCACTATTCATGCGTTTCATACAAATTCCATTGTGTTCTAACTCTTCCTTTCTTGATCTTCCCCCATATTCTGCTGCCAGACATTACGTTGACACTCACGTCATATACTACTTATAAGTAGCTCGCACCACACTATTACTACTGCTACTGCTACTACTACTACTACTACTACCACTCACATTACTACTACTACTACTACTACTACTACTACTACTACTGATATTGTTACTGATTCCACTGTGTTGAGATTTGTTGGTAGTGTGTTAATGTAGTGTAAAAGTTTAAACTGATACATATATGCGCTATCTTGTAATTAACTGACTAAATGAATATTTTTTTAATAGAAATGGCAGAATAAATATGAATGAGAAGCATCAATTTATACACCAAATCATATCTCAATTACATAAAATATTAAACATGATCAAATAAATATTAATAAGCACAAATCATTTCACTTACACTAATTTTGAAAGTTTATTCATAACAGCAAAACAATTGATCAATACATCCAATTGACTATTACTTATTTTCCAACCTAGATTTCATTATTTCATTTCATTTTCTCTTCACTGTCAAAATTTACCTTTTATTGAAACTTCATAAACTGTTTCCGGTTTATCTGGATTCTCTTGTTGAACAATAATTTTCGGTTGAAAATATTCTAATGTTTTACATAATTTAAATGTTGTCGGATTAAAACCTAATGGTGATTGTAAATTGTCTAAATTGTAGCATGGAAAGAATAAACGAACAGAATAAGAAGTTAATTTGCATTACAGGGTTGCTGTGAAGATTGTTAAGTTACACAGTTTTTTGAAATCATGAATCAATCAATGATTGTTAGACCAGCATTAGAAACCTGGAAGCATTGGACAGTGGCCGTTTCGTCCTGGTATGGGACGACTCATCAGTGGCAGTGTGCATCCACGACTCCTGCACCCCACAGGATTCGAACCCAGGACCTTCGGTATTGGGCGCGAACGCCTCCAGGTTTCTAGTGGTGGTCTGACATTGAACGACTCATGGTTTCAAAAAAGAAATTAATTGTTGAACATGATTTTGGCTTTGAAAATAATACTTGAAAGTATGTTACACATTTGTAATCCTACCGGTGTGGATGACAAATAAGCATACTACAAAGGCCGTATAGCTTTTTACAACTCTCATATATTTAGTTTTCTCATAAGGATGTATTTTCTGGTAATAAAACATTAAAATTCTACGAATAAATGTATGAATATGGTAGAACGTTTAGCACATTAACAGTCATATCTTAAAGCTTTAGAAGCCATTTGTTATCATGATATAATATTTTAGCTGGTGATTCACTAAAGACTGGAAGTCATTGGTTAGCCAGTTCACTCTACATCAGGAATCTTTATCAGTGTCCATTCAGAGATGTCTTGTAGCTACTATTTGTATATCGTGAAACATTAGTATGATCAATACTTGGATGAGGAAGTTGTGAATTTTGTTTTGCTGAAGAGATTGAGATACACATTACTTATGTCTAGCCACCACTTATTTTGACCTTCAGTTAACAGTAGATTGGGAGTAGACTATTATCAGCCAAACTAAGATATGAAATTTGTCTATGAAGTTATTAGCTTTTGAACTAAACTCTATTAGCCGACATGGACTACATGGTTAAGGTTCTTTTAGTATTAGTGATAAGTAGAAGTTGGGTGACGTGACTCGAAATCTTTTATTGTGACCTAGACAAGTCAACTTTTTATAATATGCTCATTTATTTCAGGCCCATTGTTTGATTATGAGTAAATGATTATATCCATAACCTTATACGGGATAAAAATCAAGGCATTTTACGTTTCTCCGAGTACACAATACACTCTATTGCTCAGTCAAAGTGCACTAATCTGTGCTTTAACTTCAGTCACCATGTAGAACATTTCATCAAATAACACTGTTAAGTCATTAATTACTTCACTCGAAGAGATTTGTATGTCACAGTTTGTAACCAGAATATCCTAGTCAAAGAAAATAATTGATTAGAGTACACTTCGATGTTTAGAAGCTTTATTTTTACAGCAACATACGTTACATTTTATCCACCAAAATATCCATCATACACCTGAATTAAGATTGCTGGCTCTGTATACTTAGTTCTGACCAGTCTTTGATTCTCTTTCATATATCGTTTGAAAAAAAACCTGATTCGACAAGAATAATTCCTACTTTGCACAGAGTTTACCTACTCAATTTCCTCTATAAAAAGTTCTTCATGTAAATATTTGGAAAAAAACCTTAATTATAAAAAGCATCACCCTTATTTCACTTGACGCCATTTTGCTGTTATAAACTTTTGGAAAATGCCTGATAAATTTTTCCTTCATGGTTGTGAATTTTTGTGCTTGATAGTGCTTTTTCTAATCTTATTAAGTAACAAAAGTCATTATATGCAGATTATTTTCGTTGGCCAAACATTATCAGCAACGACCTACTGTGGGAGAGAACAAACCAGATTCCAGTGGAGGAGGAAATCAGGAAGAAGTGGTGGAAATGGATAGAACATATATTGAGGAAAGCATTCAAATGCATCTCAAGACAAGCTCTCACATGGAAGCCTCGATTTCAAAGTAAAAGAGGAAGGCCAAGGAACGCATTACGTCAAGAAATGAAGACAGACATGAGAAGAATGAACAAAAATTGAACAGAACTGGAAAGAGAAGCCCAGGACAGAGTAGGTTGGAGAATACTGGTCGGCGGCCTATGTTCTATTTAGGGTAACAGGCGTAAGTAAATAAGTAAGTAGGTAATTATTTGAAAATAATGACAGAATGCTCTGACAAACTTTAGTATGTCAGTACTATCATGTGTCTTATTAAGGTTAAAATGTACTTAATCATGGGTGTTGAGTAGTCGACTGTTCACAACTATCCAATGGTCACTGTAATATTTCCTCTAAGAATGAGGCGATATTTCGCTCAATAGATATTTACGGAATGAAAAATGGCAAACAATGACTAGTAGTGAGTCCCTTGAACTCCATCTGTAATAAATATGTCGATTTAGCTAACTGCTACGTACGTGAGGTATCAACTATTTCGGTTGGTTACAAACACATTATTAGTTTTCCTGTAGACAATTTGCGTTGTGCATCTGACTTACTTGACTTACTGACGAATGTAGTCGGGCACAGCAATTCTCAGGATGAAAACAATGTGCCACTTCATAAATAAAATCCCGAGTGGTGAGTCACTGTTTCTCAGTTTGAAACGGTCAGATTACTTGTAGGATTTTGATAACTTGCATGTTGCAGAAATGTTATCTCGATACAGCTGTTAGAAACTCTCGTTTCTCTAATGGTCGGGTAAGTATGTTATCCCAACAAATTTTCATAGGTGGGTTTAACCAAAGTAGTCATTAAAATCAGTCATGGCTTCAATTCTCGATAGTTTGAAATTGGTTTAAGTCTTATAGATTGTCATACATGACAAGATTGTCAGATGCAGTTGCTAAATTGTCGACCATTACGAAACAAATGGCTGTCATATCTACATTGGATCAACCGTTCAGAACATTCGGGACGGATTGGCTAGCCAGCAGTTTCCTTCGTCTACTGAAGAGGTATCGCAAGCCTTACATATGTACCATCAACAAAAAGACAAAGGCTAAATTCTTAGGAATGTTGATCTTGGAGCTCCTTGAATATTAAAGTGGTAATGGTTGTGGGATGATCAATAGTCGGCAGAGAAAATCTGTTACGTCTGTTGTATTACATCTTATGAAACCAGAATTGGCACCTAACCTCACCTAAATGGATAGCGACACAAAGCGTAGTCTTATGAGATTTAGATTCTAAAACAACATAGGAAGTAAGGTTTCATTCTAGTTTTGATTATTCAAAAGGTTCACTATCATCTTAATTTTTATCGTTCACTAAAGGTGGAAAAGATCTTGCGACGGTCTATGATTTCGCTATTCAATGGTTCTTTCACGATAAGAGATATTTTATTATCAAAGTAGAAATAATAAGAGTTGTGATTTGTACTATGAACCATTTCCTTCTTTCATGTAGATAATGGTACTTCCTCTTTGTAAAATAAAAGTAAATCCTACCGCGTTTTATTGCAAATTTGTAATAAGCATCCAACAAAAATGCCCATAACTGCTGATTCGTGATTTATAAATGTTTTTCGAAACTACACAAAGCCTTTAAACCACAACGAGCACGCTGAAACTAACTAGATGGAGAAGATAAACACTAGAATGCAGTAGCATTTTGTTGGAGCTGATTTTACCTTATATATATAAGTAAATCTCACATACACTTTTTCAGTCTCAGGTTAACGACTAACCCTTCATTCTCAATAATTATCACTGATAGCTATTTATGTAAAAGTTGTTCATGTATTGTCCCCAAATAAACCACTATTTTGATTCATAACGACTTCGCAGATAATTTTGCTAACCTGGGGAATTATGTGTAAGCTTACTAAATATGCTACATAGTAGTCCGTTGCGTCTTCAAAAAACCGACTATTTTACATGTTACTATTGCGGAACAGTTTATAACTAGGTGTTAATTCTGAAGAAAAGTGGGTATCTAGTCAAAGGTAAGAGTTAGTTTTGAGACATTCTCCGTCATTGGAGAGATTCTGGAGAAAAGTTGCATATTTTTATCCTAGTGACAATGTGCTGCATTGTCTTTCGAATTTAACGAAGGATTTTCCCAAACATTTACACTAAAATTCTCTTTTGTTTCCCATTTTTGGTACCGTCCGTCAATTTTATTCATTTCGCCAATGGCTATGAAAAAGGCTTATGCATGTTAAAAATATATTCGCCGCAGGAATATTCAACAAATATTCTATGAGTGAATAAATAAGAACCCATAGGATATAATCATGATTATAGTTGTTGTATATAACATCATATCATTTTCCAAAAATTATGAATTCAAATATGAAACAAACCTTCAGAATATTTAGTATCTGGTGACTGTTGAGACTGAGGACTTTTCTTATCTTCTTTTGAGCGCTTCGATGATGGCAAAGACGATGCCTACATAAAATGATGTTTTAATTGTCAAACTTATGGACACACTACCCTTGTACTTGTTGCTTTGGAGTGTTTTGTCGATACAAATGGATAATGAGTGACACAATTTTGTATACATAATCCGGGAAAATCATTTTCCAAAATACCCGACACGACATAATTAGCTGGGAAAATATAGAACATAGTTTATCACTTCCTACTAGGATCTGGATTAATAAGAGGGTCTCCAGCTTTTGGAGATTTTTCTTTTGCAGATTTCTTCCCCATCAGCTTACATATTTGAAAAGTCGTTTATAGTAACACTCAAGGTCAGTGTTCATTCAGACAATTCAAAGCTATGCAAATTGGAAAATAGGGTTGTACAATTTTATGTATCAGAAAGTATTCTGGAGTCCTAAAATATGCTTTTTTACTTATTTTATTGTGTTTTTCATCGGAACTTATACGGCACAGTGACGACTGAGAAAGGAAACTAAACAATACGAAAGAGGAGTAACCCATACAGTTCTATCTATTGATAATCCAGTAGATATGCATGCGCGTAGGGCGTTCTATCAGGAGAGTTCAAATAGAATCAGGTTCTTATCGCTTCGGTGGGTTGTAAATCTGAGATTCTTCCACTGATAGCTATTGTTACTCTCAGGCACTACCACTTTTCTCTATTTGTTCACGTTGCTTGGTCTCTCGTATTTCTGGGTGAGACCATGTTTCCTTCCTGACGATATCAAGCCCAGGTCTTCGAAATAATTATGCATTTTTAGAACTATTTTACTGCTTGTTTTATGTGTTTCAGGGATTAATCCTCCAAACCTTGAACATTGTTAGCCAGAAGTTGAAGACTGCTCGACCCATCAGATATGTATGTGTTGTTGAAAGTATTTTAGGTTAAGGAGACATAAAATTTTGTATGTGCCTACCAAGTATAAGAACTAAGTGTATTAGCAGAAGTACTCAAGAAGTAAAATCTAGAGTAGTTGTTTTCACCACTTATTTGGATGAAGTAAAATAGAATTTTGTACTAGCACGTTCATGTTACGTCTTTAGTGGATCGCCGTTTAAGTGGTATTTGGTATTTAAAATTATAGATTAAAGTAGTGTGAAGAAGATGATCATCATTTCTATATTCTTCTTAATCCATGAATACTGCAAAAGTATCAAATTTATGGCTACCAGGAGATCTAAGTGTAGAACCCAAACTGAGGTTTGGATTGAGGAATAACTGCCCAGGTAGTTTAGATACGCGTCTTGATCAGTTTAAAAACCAAAACAAGGGATTTGGGTAAATGAAGGTTCTAATATTGATCATAAATATAAATATACATCGTTACCTAAACCAATATTACCTCTCAGTTATTCCACCAAATACTGTTCAACTAATCAATCAGTATCAACAAATAAATGTTATTTTGTTCCTCCTGAATAGATCAGAATCGTTTGACAGATAATATTCGGTTGCTTTATAACACAGAGTGTTTGCTATTTTGGAAAAGCGCTTCGGTTCACAATCAAAATGCAAAAATTCCAGTCAATGTAGGCAGCACATTCAAAGGAGACACAAATCAATATGGCTGTCGCCTAGACTAAGTATCAGCTTAAACAACATAAATGCAGTTCACAAAGAACATAGAAACTCAGTGAAAGAAAAAAGTAGAAGCTATAATAAAATACAAATATTATAATCTCAAATGGAATCGAACAGATTAACAAAATGTACAACTGAAGAAATCAGTAAGAACAAATTTCAAAGGCATACATGGAGGGGTTTTCGCAAACAAAACCTTCGAAAATGGATCTTACACTGAGTAAGGTTTACTTTTCAGTCAACCCAATTTTTGGTCGCCTTACATCCAACTAGTTCCAAAAGAGAGACATTCTTTTTAAGGCAAAGTGATGTGATGTACTTCTCCCGACATGATTAAATCAGCACTGATGTCGAAGTGTTATAGATCTATCTATTTTTCGGATCTATTTACCATTACAACTGAGCTTTTACAATATTATCTGTCAAAATGAATGTATTTGAATGTTGGACTCAAGCAAAGCTGAAAATATCACATTCCAAGTTTTTTATTTTGGATCTATTAACGTTGAATACTATTACTGTATGGTTACTTAGTTGCTTCTTGATATCCATGTGACCAATATTTATGCCTAAGTATCTCCTGAAAGCAGTACTACTGTTCAAAAAACCACTGAAATATACACCGCTGGCCCAAAATTACATACCTATGTGGTTTTTGACCTTATTTTAAAATAATTGATGGTATTAACATCTAATTGAAACATCCTTATCAACATAGAAATACCCGTGTCTATTACCCTGGTTACTTACACTCATGGTGAGGGTCGTTAGTTAGTCTCTGTCTTCAAAAAATATGAGGATATTTATAGAGGTAGTTTATCAGTTCCTTGTAGGCGGTACTTTAGGCGCCTGTTCATAGGAACAGCCGTTGTAGCTGGTCTTTCAAAACCCACTTATCTCTCTCGTGATATAGTTGGTAAGCGACTTCACTATCGGGAGTTAGCCTACTCAATAAGGTTCTCACTATGGTTTTCAGTGGCGATAAAGTCTTGTCAAAAATCTGCAATCGTCATTTGACCAACCAAGGAAACTAAATTTTTCACTACCTGATTTAGAGAAGTAACGAAGTGGCTACATATGGCTTTACCAAACAACTACAAACCCAACCAACGAATCCTGGTGTATCGAAATGAAGTGTAGGTAGCTGAAAGATAGTTTTGGGTACTTTGTAAACCAGAGCGAGAAATAAACGAATTTCAAGGTTAAGAAGGTATATAGTTTCTACAGAGTGATGGTATGGAAATCTGAACTTCCGTAAAATAAATGACAATGTAAAATATACTTTAAAGTATAGGAATTCCTGACGCATTCCGAAATGTACTTAAGCAGCTACTAAATGGTCGTCGCTTGACTTGACATCATAAACTGAAACAAAGACAATCTTTATCAGAGTAAACTGGGTAGATAAGTGTACAAACCTAATATCTATATATAGGAGCGCAAGATTATCGACGGGTGGAATGGAAGTCTGGATATTTGTATTATATTGCGGAACCTAGGAAATTTCAGAATCCAGAAGGCCCTTGACAGAATGACACTAAACTCGACCATCGGTACACTGCAATCTATTAAACCAGTAGCCTACATCGAAATTCGCTTCAATTGTAATTTAACGAATTTAAAGCCTCATTGACTCTATAAATAGTTGTTTACTGAGAAGCACACAAAATAGTTTGAGATCCAGAATAAAAACCGCTGTAATGAACAAAGACGAACGAAATTCAGAGTGACGCTCGGCTGCATACCCACCGCACATTACTTGTTAGCCTCATTGTAAGTAGTACACACCACACTACTTAATCTCGTGTCTGTCTGTTCCTAGAAAATTACGGCTTTGTTGGCGTTTGGTAAGTTATGGGGATGTTAGATCCCCAGAACTCGCTTTATAAATATCTTTATCTTGGATTTATTTCATGGACAGATCAGTTGACATTGAGATCGCATTTCCCACCAGGAAAATCCTTGGCTGTGATTGGTTACTGTGTCATTTTAGTGTGCTATTTTGTGACTGTCCCAAGGACGTCTCTATAGAGTACAAATAAACGCAATTTGAGTGCTTGGATTGATTGTGTGCTTGTTGGGTGTTAGTAGAATACAATTTTTACACTATATCAAGACTTCTTGCTGATTCAACTTGGTCAAATGTTCAGAGTAGCCTACCTGGACGCTGGTTCATTGATTTGTTATCGTTATTTAACTAAGGTGAACTAGTAATAGTTTAAGCATACCCAGAGTCGAGCATAACAGTAAGAAATCAACGGAATCGAAATCATTAGTTGATCGAAATGCATCCGAAGTCGACCGGAAACTTATTAGCAATAGGGAAAACTCTGGTGCTTATAGTGAAATTCAGAAACTGAAGATGATCATGAAAAGACAGAAAAATGATTCAGTTTGTGTTATACTCGTCTCTAGGTATGCTTAAACTATTACGAGTTCACCTTAGTCTAATAACGAGAACAAAACAATGAACCAGCGTACAGGTAGACTACTCTGATCCCTTGACCAAACTGTACCAGAAAGAAGTCTAGATATAGTGTAGAAATTGTATTCTACAAACACCCAGCCATCACACAATGAATCCAAGCAGATAAATCGCGTTCGTTTATATCCCATAGAGACGTCCTTGGGTGAGTCACAAAATAGCACACTAAAATGACACAGTAACCAATCACAGCCAAGGATTTTCCTGGTGGGAAATGCGATCTCAATGTCAACTGATCAGCCCATGCTCGCACACGTGAAATCCAAAATAAGGCCTTTATCAAGCGAATCCTGAGGATCGAACGTCCTCAACAATTTGCACCTCATATTTAGAGTACTTAATATATTGATCTTAAGTGTTCGTGTATAGTTGACTGAGAATATTCTGTATGACATGCAACAGAATTGCTAGTAAACAGTTAGAAAATGGAAGTCAAATGAGTCAGAACAAGGTGTGTATACGAACGTGTGTATCTGTGAAAAAGACTAATAGAAGTCAACTTCAACGAAATTCTTTAGTCACTATTTGTCTATCTAACATTAAATGGGTTTATAGGAAGTTAAAAATGATAAGGAATAATGTTTCCAGATTAAATTGATTCCTGCCATCTCCGCAATGCATAAAATCACATAGATATTATTGCTCACCTCTCAAAATGACAATTTACTAGAAGTTCGTCAACATGTATCCACGTATAATATCAAAAAATTATTGACTTTTATATCCATCTTAAAATAATTATAACCGATTATTTCATTTTTAAAAGTCTGGGAAATATTCTTCAACAGGTTTGAGAAGTAAAAATGATGGACATGAGAAGAGTTGTTCATTAACAACAATATCTAATATGAATGATTGATTTAAACCCTCCGGTTGTTTTAGTTCAAAATATCAAGAATTATCTCTTTCTGTTTACAAGATTTATTTCCATACTTTGATAATTCGAATAACTTATAGCGGGTTGAGATCATATCATGCCAATGGCCAAGTTCGATTCCTTCAAGAAGCAGAAATCAGATGGCCAGTTGTGAATGGAGTTGAAATATATTTGTTGACGATCTCGTGGTATCGAAACAATACTAAGATCGTGTCAATATTTACAGATGAGACAATCGA